AGCATAGCACAACTTGCTCTTTCACAGCTATTTGTTCCTCAATGCTCCACTGATACAATGCAAAACTGTGTTTTGTCAGTAAAGTGCACAAATCGAATTCCAAAGTCAGATTTAATGACCTGGCACAGATGTGACTAGATTTTTTACAGTTGTGATATAATCTGCCTTCAGATCTCCTCACTTTCCCATCTGCCATTTGAAAAGGGATAGGTGAATAGCAGCTTTCCAGATGTGGTGGACTGCAACTCCCATCAGCCTTAGTCTCCACAGCCATCAAGCGGAGAATGCTGGGAGTTGCAGTCCAACAACATGTCGATGGCGTGCACTTGGTCTAGCCCTCGGACAGCAGACACCCAACTCTTCATACATTACAAATCCTAATTCAGCCTTTGTTTGGGTACTAAAAGCAATCAAGAAATGGGGTTCTGGGTAAGGTAATAAATTCAAGTGCTGACTAAAATAATATAATTAGTGGCACCAATATTAAATCCTGGCTGTGCTTTGGTACTAAAAGAAATGATAAGGTGGTGTTCTGACAGTGAAATAAATTGTATGAGAATCTGATGAAACAAATCTGGTCAGTGGCACTTGGAACACAAGTGTCAAGAGTCACACACAGGAGAAGAAAAAGAGGAAATTCACCAATACAGGTAGGTGTGCTACAGAAATCCATAAGAAGTTTCTTGGATCATCCTCCAGAACTTCTTTAAGGAATGTTCAAAAAGCGGTATACCTAACAAAAGAAGAATACCAACTAAGCCAAAATTAATGTGTGACCGTTTCCCCCATAAACCCTAATCTGGCTGGCACCCTATGTTAAGTGACAGCACACCCTCCTGAGACCTCTGCACCAGCACAAAAGCTTCTGAGGGAACAATCTCAGTTGGTGCTGAAAGAACACCTGCCAGATCAAGAAGAGCAACAATTTTCCTCTCATGTTTTTTAGGAGCACCTCTCCCCCCCCCTCCGTATAAACATATCCTGGGAACACTGCTGCCTATGCCCAATATGGAGTACTAAAAATCCAAAAAATCCAAACTTTCTAAACCATATGGAATCCTGTGTGAAGTAACTGCTTACCTCAGAAATTATAAATAATAAGAGATCGGCAAACTCTGCCCTGCTCCCATTACCTTGGCTTGGAAATGGGCCAAGGGATTTTAAAGACCTTGGTTTGCAAATTTGGCTTATGGAAAATTAACTCATTCAGTTCATCTTCAAAGCACTCTACCCTTTCAGCCACAGGTTCAAGAACAGGGCAGAGGTGAGCAAATGGGAGTGTGCGCGCACCCTCTGGCACTTTTATTGGTCCATCTTTCTCTTGACAGGCTGCCCAGCAGCAATGTACTTTGAAAGGCCCAGCACAGGCAGCTTGTAGTCTGGCGCAGGGTATGGGCTTTGCTGGTATCCTCACATAACATTAACATTTACAGTGTACAAAAGGATCTTAAAGGGTTGTTGGCTTTCTCTTTTGGAGTTTTCTTCTATAAATATGACTCTGGGTTGCATCTATATTCTGCCAAACTTCAGTTTCTCCACCCATGTGTAGAGGGTTGTTTCCTCTGTGAGGGGACCAGCTGTATGCTTCCCCAAACGGGTTGGTACTGTCCTCTGTGCCCTGTGGGACTTGGCCAAAAAGAATGTTTGCTTAGGGAGAGAAACAGCTCAGGCCAGCCTGGTTCACGTGGTACTGATGTTTTATATTGTGGCAATTTCTTCTTTACATTATGTAAGCAGATAATAACAAGTAAGGCAGTGACTCAAAGAACAATTAAAGGGCTGTCATATGCATTGTGATTCACAGCAATGGTGTGCTCTCTCCCACAGCCACAAAAAATAATTAACACATTCAATTTACAAACGTTAAGTCATGCTGTTTAGTTTAATCCCATAGAGCATTTTAAAAAAACATTAACAAGCATCATGATAAGCAATGCCTCAACAATAAACTCTTCCCCTGCCTCCTTTATGCAATTACATCAAATCTGAATGGAGTGTCTTTGCAACTCAGTATGGTTCAGAAATTAAACTTCTAATTCTATTAATGAATGTCTTATTTTCACTGTAGTCAAAGAAGACTAGAGTTAGATAAATGGTTTTTTTCTCTCAGGTTACTGCATTTTAATTTTCTGTCTACTTTTCATTCTGTATTTTTCCCCCTTAATTTTAAGCCCTCTAGGCATTTCTGCAGGGAAGGTCTCCATGTAATCCAGTTCAACACAGTTTACCCAAGAAGAGCATCTCTTACTGTATCAGAGGGCCTGTGTCTTGAGATCTGCAGGAAAGGCTCTTCCCTGCAAATCATAAGGCCCTGCCCATGTATTATGGGACAACAAGCAAGACAACCTTGACTGCTGTGGTGCCATTTGTTCAACACTGTCCCATTAGCAGTATGTTTGGCACCACCACGGTCCATTTGACCCAGCAGAAAACTGTACTGCTCATCCAGGCATTTTAGATACGATTTTATGTCTTACTGTATTAGCTGCCTCTCAACTGCTTTGCCGGTTGTATTTTTCTGCTGTATGTTGAATGTACAGTGAGTATTTATATTTTTTTGTTTAACAATTATAGGCCAGCTGTAGAAGAGGTAACCATGTTAGTGTATTCAAACATTATACATTAAAAATAAAATTAAAAAACAAACAAACAAATAAAAAAGACAACAACATGGTGGCAACCTTAAAGACCAACTGCTATATTTTGTGAACAAGTCTACTTCCTCAAATATAGCAAGAGAGAGATATAACATGGCAAATATTTATACATGGCATCAAAATACAGAGATCAGGGTTGGTTGCATGACTTTCTTGCCATGTTATATATCTCTCTTATGTCTGCAGAAGTGGACTTCTCTATGAAAATTCACATTAAAATAAAATAGTCTTTAAGGTGCCACCATATATTTGTCTATTTTACATACTGTTTTATTTTTTTATTTTTACCTATAATCATAGGCCAGAATATGTCTTTTCACTAGTTTATGCTTGTGCAAGGGAAATTCTAAATGACTAGGCAAGCAGCCCCTTCCTCTCTTATCACTCCATGTGTGTCCCTCCCAAAGTTGTGCGCTCAGTGAAAAGGAGGCCATCCCAGACAGAAGGAATGGAAAGAAAACTCCATAGATTTTTGGGACCAAACTGCCTAGCTGTGTGCATGTCAATCTGCCACCAAGACTTATATAGGTTATTTTTCTAAAATACAAGTGTAAACTGGCAATATGTTTTGGCCAGGGATCCCCAATCCCCGGTCCGGTGCTGGTCAGTGGCCATGGCAGGACTGGGCCACGGAGACAGATCTCTCTCCCCCCCCCGCATAGACTCCCCACATGCACCCCACCAGCAAGCACGCCCCACCCCTCTGCGTATGTGCGTGAGAGCATCCCTCCCCTCTGTGAGTGTGCCTTGCCCATCCATGCATGCCCACGAGCACACCTTGCGCATCCATAACTGTGGGGGGTGCCCCCTGTGCAGGACCCCACCCACCCAACCAGTCTGCGGTTCAAAAGATGGAAATCCGCCAAAAATGGAAATAGGCACTCTGTGGCAGTATATAAGCAGCACACTTTGCTTTGCTATACTCTTTAATCATCATCCTCATCATTGAACTGCACAGCTGGAAGGTATTCCCCTGGATCAACCAGCCAGTCCTTGTCAAAGAGGCACAGTGAGGAATTGAACTTCCAATCTCTAACTCCACAGCATTACATGTCATGAAGTCACTTCTGGTTTAGGGTGACCCTACAAGGGTTTTTGAGGTACATGAGGCGTTCAAGGAGCAGTTTGCCATTACCACCTCCCTGTGCTTTTCCATGGCCAAGAGGGGATTTGAACTGAAGTTGCTATCCACTACACCACACAGGCTCTCCACCTAATTTTAGGTCCTGATAAATACCACAGTGTTTGAAACTATAAAAAACAGGATACTACAACTGTAAGCTAAGGAAGAGAAGACTTGCTTCTTCAGTCCCTGCCGTGTTCAGGGAGAAAGGGGATATCTGCCTAGCTGTGTCCTGAAACTTAATGGGAGTAGAGCAATGCAGACAAGCAAAAATGCTCATCAAACTGCTGTGGGTGAAATCTAACAAAGTCACATTATCTGATGGACCCCACTGACTGTCTGCCCAGCCTCTTTCCTCTATTACTGCAATAGTTTTGGATGACAACTTCCCTTTTCACCTCCCCATAACTTACTTGTTTAGCATCTTGTTTCACAAAGAAATCAGTAATCTCAAAAGCATACCTCCTGTTAAGCTTGGCCTAATACTGGTACCATCTCAGTCTAGACTTTGGAATGTTTTTAATGGTCAACACATCTAACCCTACTCATTTCATAACAAACTGATCATTATGAGACATCCATCCATGCATCAGCAAGAATGCCATCAGGTTCACAAGATCCAAATAAATGACAAAGTCCAGTGGAGGTTGGTGACTTGATTTCACAGGAGCAGTGAATTCACTTTGAGTTTTAGTCCAAACTTTAAAAGGAGCTATCCAAATGACAGAATTGGTTTAGGGGATAGGGTCAAAGAACCTGCATAGGTAATGTAAAGTTTGAGCTACAAGGCAACCTGAATTTATTTCTGGAACTGAGATGAACTAGTGGGTTCTAAAGCCAAGAAAAAGGTAGGTAGAAGGACATTTATTAAAGCAGCTGAAGAGCACAAACTCTGTTTAGGATGCTGGTGTACTGTATGAAGTGAGCCAGGTCGAATGCTGTTGTTTTGAAGGCAGTAAAGGCACTACAATAATTATTACTATTATCTTCTTGTATACTTTCTATTTGGGTTAAAGCTTACTTTTAAGATCGGGGCAGGGTACAGGTGGAGAATTATGACTAAGAAATGTACGATTTACATAATATATCTACAGTTAGAGTATAATGCAAGATTGCTGTAAAGTATGCCTGCTCATCCTGAAGGAGGTAGAACTGAATATTAGTTAGCAGTGCTGAATGTGTACCAGTTTGCAAATAGGTGCAATTTCTCATCCACTTACCATATCAAGGTCTTGTGACACTCTCCGCTTGCGAAGCTCTTCCATTCTCTCACACACATCAGTAAAGCAGGTATTATAGTAGTCTGCATACTGCTGGGCCAGATCATCAATGTTGCCCAATGACCCATCCTACAGGGAAAAAAATAAACAAACAAAATGTTTTAATTATTTCCAGAAGGTTTTGAAAAATCAACTATAATCAAAACTTGAGGATTTCATCAATACATCTCAAGTTTTGGAAGCATTACAATGAACACAGAGATGTTGCACTTTTACTCTGTGCTTAACATCTCTTTAAACAAGCAATACTGCTAGAGTAAAAAAAAAATCTCCAACATGCAGGACGTCCGGCTCAATGATCCTCGATGTTCAATGTCAGCTCTTAAACTCCAACAGCTTAAAATCTTTGAGCACGTAAATGTACTGCTTAAAATAGAAACAATCATTACATTCTTGCTGTTCTGACCAGTTCCTACAAAGCTTAAAGCACTTCTCTCTCAGTGCACACCAAGATAACTGTAGAAAGCTGAAAGTTAATGGATAAAAATACCAGCATATACTTTCTTCTGAACACATTTCACCTACTATGAAAATAAAAAAAGCTGGGAATCCTAAATTCACATTAATCCACAGAAGATTTCAAAGTACTTTACTAGCTGCCCTATTCTATCAATAGTTCAACTACTGGTGTAATTCTAAAAAAATATTTTGTTGTCAGAAATCTTTAGTTTACCAACAGGAATCTCTTGGTTCAACAATGTCCAAGTAATAACAGTGTATGGTGGGGGGTGGGATGAGACTGACAGAAAAATGTTGCTAAAGTCCGAAGAAAATACTACAGTCATGCCCTGCTGGACGATTACCCCACTTTACGACGAATCCGCTTTACGTGGACGTTTTTGCGGTCGCTTTTGCAATCGCAAAACAATGTTTTAAATGGGGTTTTTTCGTTGTGGATGATCGGTTCCCTGCTTCGGGAACTGATTTTCACTTTACGACAATCAGCACACAGCTGATCGTCAGGTTTCAAAATGGCCACCGGCTGAAGAAAATGGCCCCTTGATGTTTTCTAGGATGGATTCCTCGCTTTACAGGCACCGAAAATGGCCACCATATGGAGGATCTTTGCTGGACGAACAGGTATTCATCCCATTGGAACGCACTGAATGGTTTTCAATGCGTTTCAATGGGTTTTTTTATTTCATTTGACGACGTTTTCGCTCTACAGCGATTTCACTGGAACGAATTGTCATCAAGCGAAGCACCACTGTACACTGGATTGTTTGCTGAGGCAGGGGATAATTTCCTACACAGAAGCGAAGCACCACTGTACATTGGATTACTTGCTGAGGCAGGGGATAATTTCCTACACAGGTTTCAGTATACAGACTATCTGCCCTTCCTCTAGAAGTTGCTACATTTAGTCTCAGTTACTTTCAGCTTTTATAAAAAAAACATGCTACCAGCCTGCACAAACTTTTTCACAGCATGTTGTCTACGATGCAGGGCTGTAACTAGGGTGGAGTAACTAGAGGTTTGCCCCAGGGAACCAAAAGTTAGAGGCCATCACAATCCAGAGATGAATCTATTAATGAATGTTAGGAAAATAAATGGCAACACCTCTTAACCCTATAACACTTTCTGACTCTATTCACAGTCTTTTGCTTCTTTGAAAATACAAACTTTCTTGGGGAGGGGGTTCTCCTTTCTTTCATTCTGCTTGGTGGAGTCATGCCCATAAATCAGGATGGCATGAGTGGGAGACAGCGTCCATTGCCCTGAGTACTAAAATCCATAGTTATGCTACTGATAGCGCGCGCGCACGCGCGCACACACACACAGGGGTTCTACTTTCTTTCATTTTGCTTGGTGGAATCATGCCCATAAATCAAGATGGCATGAGTGGGAGACATTGCCCTGAGTACTAAAATTCATAGTTATGCTACTGATAGAACACACACACACAAACACGAGTGATATTTTAAAGATGGGGAAAATAATAAACCCTAAGTAAAAGTCACACTTCCAAGACAGCAGTTGTCCCAACACTTCTGTGATGTCTCCTGCACTGTAATACTCCCTTCTTACAAATACAAAGGCTTTAGATTTGAGGGAACCATAATAAAGCATAGTATAAAATGATGAATTGCCATGGAATTCCTAGAGAATTAATCTGATAGCATATGAATACCAGAAGCATCCATCATGATTGATGTTAATGGAGTGAATAACAAAGACAATTTATAATGACCTGGCTCTTATTGAACTAGATTTATTGGTTACAGCACACCAACCCAATGAATGTGCTGACAACAATGTTTGTATTTGATGTTAAAGACAATAGAGAGCTCCAGTCTGTCCAGCACCTTGCACTAGAAAATGAAATACAGTACATCTAACAGGAAAGAGTCTTTAGCTCAGATTGTCTGTCTGCTATAGTTTGTATTTTGATTATGGTAACAGAAAAGCTCTGTATCATGCATAGGGGAGCATGAAAAGTCAGCTGGATGTCAGACTCTACTACAGATTGTAGGAACATATAGAGCAACCCCCACTGGGGAAAATGCAGTACAGTACCGTACGTCCGATATACTGATGGCACTCCAACACTTTAACTGAATCCACACTCCAGCTCCTGCTAGACTAGACACAAGCAAAGAGTCAGAATGAAGAAGACAGTCTGGTCTGTTGGCAGAAGAATGTTCTGTTTTGAGTGAAACTAAAGCTAGAATGCAGCAATTAGCAATTCAGAAAGTTTCTTGCAAAAGACCAAAAATATACATTGAGTTTCCATTCTGTTTCTGCTGCTCTTCTAGACTAACGTAACAAGCAGGAAAAATGTCAACTTTCTTCTCTGCAGATCTTTAGATACTTCAGCAATCAAAAAAAGGGCAAAGAGCAGATCTGTATAAAAAGTATACATTCTTCCAATGAAGCAGATCTTTAGATACTTCAGCAATAAAAAAAAAGGGCAAAGAGCAGATTTGTATAAAAAGTATACATTCTTCCAATGAAGGTCTTGGGATAAAGCTTAGTGTTCCCTACAGTGGCTGGCACTGTCTTTCCAGGGATCCAGACAGCAATTTTTCCCAGTCACAACTGAGGATGCTGGAGATTGGGACATTTGGAAATGAGACACAAACTCTACCATTGACCTACTGCCCTTCACAAAGGGCCTCTGCTATCCCCGTGGATGCTCTCAGACACAGTTTATGATGCTTTGCATGAATTGCATAATTGCCCTTACAGCCAATGTTTATCTCCCATGAATTTCCAAAGACCTGCCAAATGAAATACAGTTCTACCTAGCTCTTACACTAACCACACTATATTAAAGCATACCTAGACCAACAAATAACCTGAGGACAAGCTATTTTCCTAGAGCAAGATCTACATTTGGCTGGAGTAGTGAGTCACGATCCTACTAAGTCAGAAGGCATGGAAAATAAAATAGTAGACTGGAAAAAGAGAGTCTTTTACCTCAAAAGGGTAAATGGAAAAGTGAGAAAGGGTGTTCCTTCCATGAAATGTTTCACATGTTAAGCCCTGGCTATATGCAGATAAATAAACAGGGACTGAGAGAGAAACATACCATTTGAGCAAACATGAGACACAAGAGTTACTGTGTGGAAAAGTAACTGCAAACATCAGCAGTTCCTATTTAGCATTTCAGTCTGAACAGGAAACCCAGCCACATGGAAACATGTAGAATACGGTCCTGCATTTCATTAACATACTTTTCATTTGGACACTGCGAGAAGTACAAGCAGGAATACTAGCCTTTGCACGAATACAGGAATACTAAGATCTAAGTCACAGTAGGTATGAGAGTCTTTGTTGTTTTCTTCTGTAATGGCTGGATTGACACCACCTTGATCAATCTTATGTATGAATCTTCAAAAAAAGTTAAGCAACTCAATCTCTGTGAAAAGAATATCCTCAGATCTTTACAGAGTCAGTGAAGATCTTGATACAGCACTGAAAGCAGGATGTTTAGACACATACCACTTAATATGCGTAGTATAGAAGCAGTTGCAGAAAAAAATTCAACAATTCATGCACTGTGTTTTTCCCAATAAGGGACTTAAAGGTGGAACACAAATTTAAAACAGCATTACAAGCATAATTAAAAACACAGCACCATGTGTCTCTAAAAATTAAGCAAATAATGGTATTTTAAAGTACTATTTTAAATCACTTGAAAATATAACCCCTCAAAATAAGTAAAAACAGCATTCCATAATTCTCTCACTTGCCCAAGCCAATTAAAAGCCAACCTCAAAAGGAAGATATTTTGATGCTATTGAAAGCCACTGAGAACCAGTACCAAACAGTCACACGTCCTCCAGTTCCTGATGAAAGCCATCCACCAAGACAACCAAATCTGTTTCTATCTGTAACCAGGCCTTGAGAAAAACAGGAGAGGGCCAAGCTCTTTTGTTATCTCCCAGAAGCCCCAGACACTCATCTGACTGAATCTTATTGTCACCTCCAGGAACAAGGCAAGTGTCAAAAACAAGACTTCTTTACACCCCCCCTCGCAGCCGCCATCTCCGTGACAATGGCTCTCTATATAAGGAAAAGCCAATATTCCTTGAAAAGGACCATTCCTTCTATAGGAATATGATTTTTCAATCTATGTCACTTTATAAGGTTGAAAAATAAATCTAAAACGTTACAGCTACATTAGCCGTCATTATGCACTGTCAAATTGCTTTCGACTAACAGAGATGCTATTGATTCGTGACCTCTAAAGGGTCACAAATTGTCAACAGCCTTGTGCAACTACAGTACACAGATTCACATTATTCTTCACTTCTTCAAATAATACTGCATGTCAACAGGCTCCTTATATGCATAAATAACTGCAAAACACAATACTATCACAATACTAGAAAGTATTGATTTTTAAACAAGCATTGTTGTGTTATTGGCTACAATAAACAAAACAGATCTGCAGAGCTTGGAAACTTTCCCTTTTTTGGACTACATCTCCCAGAATCTCCCCAGGTAGCTGGAAGCTGTAGTCCAAAAAAAGGGAATGATTCCAAGCTCTGTATATTTATCTAGTTTCAGTAAGGGCATACATTTTCTATTCATCTCAGGAACATTTGTGAGTCTCTATAATT